GGTTTATGAAGAAAAACTTCATACTTGCAGACTTTATACTCGTTTGTATCTTTGCCCAATTTGCACAATCTGGCGTTACGCATTTATTGAAGCTACTGGGCATGGTTAAAAATTAAGACAGCGTAAGCACAATTATTCCATATATTACGGGTTCTGACAAGTAAAGAATTTTCAGTCCTGGCACAAATAAGCTACATATTGATTATTGACCATTTGTGACATGCCATAACGAACAAAAATAAAAAAAAAACTAATAAGTAGGTTTAAAATTAATAAATACAAATGTATTCTGACAGTGAATGAGATAATTATGCTTTTTATTTGCAAAATTTATTAACCTTAACACAAAATAAGAAAAAAAGTGAATTTTTAAGAAATTTGCGAGATTTCCCGGGATAAGAAAAATTTCCCGGGATATTTCCCGGGTTAAAAAAACAACCGGCATCCCGTTTGAGAAACACTAATTAAAACGCAAATATATATGTAAATAAATAAAATTTTAAAACTGATCATTTACGTATTAAAGTATGTTTGAAATCAAGTGAATGGCTTATTTAATTTTCTACCTTCAGCTAAGATACACAACACATGTTGAAAGTGAATTAATTAAAATTAAGTTTAAATAATCGCATTACGAATATATTTTATGATTATTTAAAGACCAGGCGAGATTTTTCTCATTTGTCAAATTAGGATTACCAAACTAAAACATCAATTACCTCCATATCAGATGTAAATTAATACCTGATAAAGCCTAAAATCTTAAGACATTTGAGTTATTAAGATTTTTAAAAAATAATGAATTAAGAATTGTTCTGATTATTATTTCACGATAACAATACAGGGATCTTCGTCATAGAATTGTTCGTCTTATTTTTTTTTTATCCGAGCATGAGTTCGATGATGGTCGAGCTTGGGCTCGAGCTCTCAATTTAGGGTAGTCTAGGGTAAACCGAAGGCGCCGTCAGGGTAGAACTACGCTGACGGCACCTTCGTTTTACCACCAGAAGCAGGCGGCATGATTATGTTCAGTCGGATGTTAGACTGTATATGTGGGGCATAATTTTGTTCACCCTGTTTGAAGCTTAATAACTTCTGTGGTTTTTCAATCGGAGTAAAATGGTTTAACACAGGAATTATTAAGCTTCAAAATGGTTGAAGTAAATTGTGCCCCCACACACATTCTACCATCCGTGCATACAGAAAAAAACCCTAATTTTTTTGCACTTCTCTACGTTTCGAGTCTTCCCGAGTACAAAAGAAAAAAAATCTGGCAAAGTCGTTTTTTGACTGATCGTCATTGTTTTCCTTTGTTATAAGCCTATAATGTATAACAGGATAACGTATAACGGGAAAGTAATAATGACGACGATTCTGATTACTTTTTTTTAGAAAATACGAAATAAAACGATTTTAAAAATTAAACATTAAAACATCTACTTAATATATAAATTGATATTTATTGTCTTGATGGCGATGGTATTTGCGACTGGTAAGCATGCATAAATAAAAACAGTAATTACATTCGTACACAAAGTAGTTTAATAAAAATGTTGTACATAATATACGAGTATATTGGATAGTATGGGCCTATAAGTATACAGATAGATTAAACTAAGTCAAGAATAAGAAATATAACATTCACACCGGTAAAGAAAAAGGTTGTTTATTTTGTCATGTTGATTAATTTATTGTGTTTTATCTCTGTTATAAACTGAATTACTTAAAAAAAATCGCTTTTATGAAGTCAGCATTCATGGAAGCTCTTAAAATTATTAAATCTGATTTAATAATTTTAAGAGCGGAAAATAAAGGCTCTACTGAGACTTGGCAATGCTGTGATGGTCAATGCTGTATCTTGGATAATGTCTGGATAGTGCAGTGTCGGCGTTTTAACATCCAAATTTGAAGAGCTGTCAATGTGATTTACTTTTTCCAGTGCATTGTAAAATTTATCTTTAAATTTTGTAAGATTTCCTTTTCTGTCTGTGCTCATATTAGAACTCAACGTCCCGAGCTACTAGTGTAAAATAAAGTATCAATACTTTTCCAAGAGATCAATGAAGGGATGACTCAGCCATTTCTGGCACCCTCTACATAAGGATACTTAGATATAAAGAAAAATACAGGTCAAGCATACACACACACACATGTACTATAGTATATTAAAGATTGATAGACATATATAAAATATGTAGTTTACAATGGCTTCTACAACAGATTTTATACTATACTTGTACACTATTAATACATTATACAAGTATACTGTAGCATAAAATCTGTTTAAAGCATAACGTCACGGTACCGGCTGGAATTTTCCCTTGTATAGAGGTTTATAAGATTAACTATATAAAAACAACTGATTCAAACCGAGTTAGATTCAAGAGCTAGATACATCACTGCATGATTCTACTGTTAGCAGGAAAAGTATGATGTACTAGCTGAGAGTATATAATTTAAATTAAATAAATTAAAAATATGATTAAAATCGCAACCCGACATTGTGATGATGACATAAACAGCAACATGGATTTTTATGATTTATAATTTACTTGCTGTTACGCGAAAGCATGTCGCTTTACTCGAGTTATGTAGATGATTTCAAAAAATTCTTCCGTTTCCATATTAGACAGGTTTCNCAAGGTCGCGCTTGTTTTGTTCCCTCTCTGCTAAAAGACCAATACTTTACAATCTTACAAAAACCGTTTATTGTAACATAAAATAAATTTACACTAGGAAAAAAATAGTCTTTTTAAAACCGTTGTTCTGACGTCCTGGGCATCAATCGAAGGTGGTCCTGGGACAGCGGAAGGTGAGGAGACTGTCGATTGGTTGGGTGCTGGTGTACAGTTTAATTAAACAAAGTCAGTCTGTCCTTGAAGATCGGGGATCAATCTCTGTTCTTTCTTTTCTCCATTCTGATTGATTGGTCCTTCCTCTGTCCCTAAACGAAAGACAAGACCTGTTCGGGTCAAGAGAAAGGTCGGCTTTGGAGAATCTCCCCAACACCATCCGTTAACTCTGGACGGAAGGTGCTGATGAAACTTTGAAACCTGCGCTCATATTTTGCCTCATCGTTGTCTAGCCTATGACAATGACGTTTTAGAATTTTACTGACCCAACGCGATGTCCCTTTCTATTATTAACCTTTTCCCTTTTCAAAATTTTTCTATGTTCTAATTGCTTGTATACGAGAGCTCTGTCAAAGGTCCATCTCTACTGGTCGACGTTCGTTTACATATAAAATGATGATTTCAAGATGTTATAACTGATTTACTACAATAAATAAATTTATACTTAATTCAGGTGTTGGAGGAGTTAAACCTGACTTCGCTGGAAAAGGTAGACCTGACTTCGCTGGAAAAGGTAGACCTGACTTCGCTGGAAAAGGTAAACCTGACTTCGCTGGAAAAGGTAAACCTGACTTCGCTGGAAAAGATGGACAAGGCGGTAACGGTGAAAATAGCAACAAGGTTCGTTCTTTTATCCCTCTGCGTTACTCCTCGCGAGCGTCATTCGTTTAAAAGTTTCTGTGAAACTTGCCATCGGACGGCAAAATCAGTCGCTGGTAGTAAAAGTAATAGTAGTGGTGGTGTAAATAAGCCGACTTGTAGGGGAAATTAGTTAATTTCGCGTCAGTGATAGTCTACAATCCTTTCGTAAGTGGGTACTGGCGGCGGAAACAAAGATGACAAGTATCTTAGTGAAGTTCTAGTGAAGTTCTTTCTCAAACTCCGTCTCGTTGACTTGGTTTCCGTGTGTATCACGATTAGATATGGTGATCCAGATTCGATGGAAAGCACATCTCCACACTCAAGTTAGACAATATTTACAGTTTATTTACAAATCAAATATATAGAGTGTACAAGTTCGAAAACATAGATATATACAGGATAACAAAGCGTGGTGCCTCAGGTACTAGATTGGCTTCAGGGAACTATTAAACCTTGGAGAGGCCTCAGTCAGCTTGTGGAGTTGGCTCAATTGCACGGTCTGTCCAGTCTCCTCACTTACCCGTCCCTGAGATGTTACCAGAGGAGTACACTCTCTCTAAGCTCAGCGGGATGCCCAAGTGCCTAATACCCCGTTTGCACCGAGCATTTCAATCTAGATCAGGGGTGTCCTTTTTGTTTCTCTGGGTCGCATTGGAAGAAGTCAAGGAGTTTGGGCCACAAGTATATATAATATACACTTGTGGCCCAATATACAAGTATATTTAAGGATTAACATGTCTAGATTATAACAATAAGTATTAAAACTTTATCACAAAAAAGGATGTTTTAAAAAATTACTTCTACAGACACTTTCAAATTTTGCATAGAAATAAATTCATTTATTATAAAAGAGACAAACGAAAATTTATTTGAAAAACACAAATGTTTGTTTTATTTGGGTCTCTAATTAATAAAAAGCGACGAAACACCATTTTAAAGTGCATTTTTATTCTACTAATATATTTATAAATAATATGTAGCCCAAGAAGTAGCCAATGCACCAAATGATAATTTCTACATCAAACAAAAAAAGTAGCCACATTTGGCGCAATGTAGCCAAATCTTGCAACGTTGGAAGGATTACTAAATAAAGCTGGAGTTGTGACTCAAAGGATTATAGACCCAAATGCGGGGAAAGGAGAGAAAGGACAAAAGATAAAGAAGTGAGGAAAGTTGAAAAATTAAGGGTCAATATTTGCATAACAGAAGGTCTATTTAACCTTTCTCACTACTTTTTATCTTTTGGCCTTTCTATCCTTTCCTCAAATTTGGATCTATAATCCTTTGAGTCACAACTCCAGCTTTATTTAGTAATCCTTCCTCATTCACAAATCTCCAAATATTTGAAAATGTTTCTTTTCCACTCAAAAATAAAATATGAATAAGGGTTTACGGCTTTGTGAAACTTTATTAGATATATGACAAGAAAAAGTACTGTATTTATTTCTAATCAAAATTTCCATTTTGTTTATTGGTGTTCGTGACTTACCGCGTAGTTATATCAGTTTTATCATCGCGTTTAATAGCCGGGTTCTTCTCAAGTGGACCGCTTGTGCGAACAGCATCACGTTCGAGTGGTTCGACTGGCGACAGTCACAATCCAGATTGTAGGTTAATCGAGATCGAAGTGAGTCGTGGATTGTGTGCGAACATAGTATAAGACTACCGTGTTATCAGTTTCTTGTCCTTCTCTCCTCCCTCTCCCGTTCGCTCTGCATTTTAAGCGTTTTTTGGACGGAAACTTCTGACCAATTATAAACCATTCTTTCGTGAACAGCTTACACCCAGGTCCGCTGTTATCTGACGAGCGTGGAGATTACATTAACGTCCGCCACTTTCGTTTATTAGTTTACTAAGTGGGTTAACGTCCGACCACACATGGGTCCAATTGACAAGGTCGCGCTTGTTTTGTTCCCTCTCTGCTAAAAGACCAATACTTTACAATCTTACAAAAACCGTTTATTGTAACATAAAATAAATTTACACTAGGAAAAAAATAGTCTTTTTAAAACCGTTGTTCTGACGTCCTGGGCATCAATCGAAGGTGGTCCTGGGACAGCGGAAGGTGAGGAGACTGTCGATTGGTTGGGTGCTGGTGTACAGTTTAATTAAACAAAGTCAGTCTGTCCTTGAAGATCGGGGATCAATCTCTGTTCTTTCTTTTCTCCATTCTGATTGATTGGTCCTTCCTCTGTCCCTAAACGAAAGACAAGACCTGTTCGGGTCAAGAGAAAGGTCGGCTTTGGAGAATCTCCCCAACACCATCCGTTAACTCTGGACGGAAGGTGCTGATGAAACTTTGAAACCTGCGCTCATATTTTGCCTCATCGTTGTCTAGCCTATGACAATGACGTTTTAGAATTTTACTGACCCAACGCGATGTCCCTTTCTATTATTAACCTTTTCCCTTTTCAAAATTTTTCTATGTTCTAATTGCTTGTATACGAGAGCTCTGTCAAAGGTCCATCTCTACTGGTCGACGTTCGTTTACACCTATTGCGTCGATATTAATAGTTTTTTTTTTTTCTTTCTTGTCTCATTCTCATATGACTTGAACGATTAATCCGACTTTTGATCGGTTTTAACAATGAAAATTTTTCTAGTTTCGTTTCAATAAACTTTTATAATAAATTTTTAATTTCAATCCGTTTTTTGGAACCTCGCAGTAGTTTACAGTGGAAAGCAACATGGCGTCCTCCATGACTCAGACAATTTCGTTCCGGGTCCATTGGGTGATTTTATAAATGAAAATTTAGAAGTTGTGACAACGCAAATTAGTGCACGCTGTGATATAAGTGTCCTCTCGATTTTTTTCGAATGGTAGCCGGTATTTTAATTTTTTTCGTCGCTGCTTTGAATGCTCTGTTGGCAAGTTAATCCGTTTTATGGTTAAATTTTACAATTGAGACCCTTCTTTTGCCTGTAAAAACGTATTTTAAAATCGTAGCTCTTTCTATCACAATACTATCGATAGTACAGGCGCCGCCATCTTTCTTTCACCGTTGTTCTTAAATGTTCACAAACAACAGTGCACTCCGTAGTAGCGGAGACGTAGAGCGACCGCTATCAATGAACACACGCTTTGTTGCTTGTAATGTAAAAGCGCTATAGTAACGAGTTTGGTACTAATTTATTCTTACGGAAATGCGTTCTGAATGTCCTGAAATGTTACAACATCAAATTTGATTGCATTTGGACTGCTAAATATCTTTCTATACAGCGTTGAATATGGTGTTTTAATTACGATCTCCCAGTATATTTGTAATAAGGTATATAAAATGACGCAAACAACCGAAACTATTAAAAAATAAGAATGTCGAATGTATTACGATCCTTAATGATTATTTATCATTAGTTACGTATTAAATGGTTATATTTTCTATATAAAATTTAAACTTACTGTGATAAGAAAAAAGAACTTTGATTTATTCAATTTTCAATTCTTTTTATAATTGGAGATATTTTAATATTAGTTTAAATAAGTCAATTACGATTCTTTTATAATAAATTATCATTTTAATTACAGGAAGGTGCAGAATAAAATACTGAAGCAGGAAATGTATGCATCTTTTCCTTCCTATCTTTTATTAAGTTTGTTTTCATTATTTATAATATAAATACGTTAATATTCGCAAATTTCTTCTATTATTGCATGTTTAAATATCCGTAGAAAATATTGCACCGTAATACAAAGTATATGGGTACTTTCAGTCAGCAAGCAATTTGCTAACTTGAATTGAGCTAAGTTTCATCATGGTTTCGTTTGTCAACCGAACGGTTGTCATTGTTTAACAAAAGGATAACAAAAGACAATAATCAATGTCGAAAGTCGTGACAGATCGTCGAAGTATCCTCACACATTTTATACAACTTTCATTTATTCCGGGGTACAAATAAATTTAGTTTAACAACTGAATGACTTTACTTAATAAAATAGCCGTCTATAGTCAAGAGCAATATTTTGCAACGTATTTGTAGAACTAATTTCGTGGAAATGCGTACAAATAAAGTCATAGAACTGACAACTAACATTAACTAACCTTTGAACTTGAATTGCCTCTTAGTTTAAGCTGTTGATCAATAGCAGTTTTTTACCTTCGATTTGAATTAAACAATGTAAATAACATAGTTAACTAGAACTAATGAACTAAGCTTATTATATTCCCAGCGTATATAACTCTTACTGAAATATATTTCTTTCTTACTGGCCGTTTTCAATTGGAATACATATACTCAGTGGCGCCCCGCAAACCATAAAAAAAAAGGGTACAAGCTGTAAAAAATGGCATCGTACGTGTATATATACATACTATACAGATATTAATTAACTGGGATTTGGAACATGAGATTAATTGACTGTTCTCTGATTAACGCAGTTAATTAAATCTACGATGCTACTGCGTAAATGAAAATCGCGTTGATCAAATACAGTGGTACCTCGAAACTCGACCAAACAATTACGACCCCGCTAGAAAAAGGTTTCGGTTAATAACAAATATTTTTATTTTAATTTTGTCATAAGTGAAATGTTTTCCGTGATAAAAATAACTAAATTTAAACAAAATGAAACCTTACAGCTTTCTTAGAGATTAAAAAAGGACAACTTCGAAAACAATGGTGAACACGTGTTTTCCAAGTGCCGCAATGTACAAGCTTTCTGCATATAATGATAGCAATCTACAACAACAACAACAACAACAACAAGAAAACACAGACTATGATAACTATCGTCAACATTACAATAAACGTTAGACGTACAGTACATATTAAAAAAAAACTAGTGAGATATTTAATTAATTTTTTATGTATTTCAGGTGAAGCAAAATACAGTGTGGAAGATTAAGAATTCTTAACTTTCTCCTGATTTCAAAGATCAATAAAAACGTAAATTAAAACTGATCAGTATAATGTCTCTGTCGATTTAACTCATATCGCACAACAATTTTCAATAATATAGGCCTATACACATATTAAATTCATTACACGTGGGGGCACCGAGATTCTTTATGATCATGATGACTCGAATTTGGCGAGGACATTGCGAGCTTTATCAGTGACAATAAAATTTCCATTTTATGTGACCGTTGATTCATAAGTCTTATAGAAATAGAAGACACGACACAACGTAAATATATATAGTCTATGCTATGGATAAAGTGATTAATAGGGAATTATTTATAATGCCCAGCCATTATGAATAATGACAGTAATGGTCGCGCAGTCTGATAAATATTGACTAATTTTTAAATTGAGCAGACGTTATGAATATAGCTACAATCTATTTTGGCAATTTAATTTTTTTTTTAAAACTCAAATAATTATTATGTCTAAATATATAAAATTACTTGTCCTGATTGACTGAGTGATTAATCCATCATCGCCCAGAGCAAACCGCTGAACCTAGAGGTAAAATTTCGTACACCATTGGAGTAGCCAGAGTTTTGTTATGGGGAGCCTAGTAGAGGCCAACCTGACACAAAATTGAATTATTTCAAATTATTGTTCATTAAAATGAAATTTCCATAAGAATCGACAATAACTTAACACACATAAAATATGAAACTTCCTTTAATCATACGTTCTCGTAACATTAATATCAAACTCTAGCAATGCCTTAAACAAAAATTAACCAATCGATTATTTTTTTACCATTCTTTAATTAATATAGTTTACCGTCTTTAATCTAGATATAGACCAGGGGTGGCCAACAGTTTATTCCTCCGGGCCGAATTGGAAAGAAAACTTTTTTCAATGCACGAACCAGAGGCGGCCCTAGCAGGATTTTCAGGTGATGCGAGATCACCTTTATTCTGGCGTCACCCTGTAGAGAGATTAAATTGTACACAGAAATTACAGATACACTTTTCACATTGGGCATAGAAAACCGTTGACCTTTTTTTTTATTTAAGGGATCAGAATTTGTCAACATTCCTATAACTTCACAACTTCGCATTGTGAGGTTGTGAAGAATCATCGCTGATCCATTCAAGCAATTATTTGAATTATTTGAATTATTGATAAGTCCATTATTCAGAGATTAATTGCGGGCCGCGGTACACTACACCCAATTAAATTAGCTTCAACTTTTTATATCTTTTTGCAAATCGGCTCAACACTTTTTCGGCTGTAATTTTTTGGAGAGGGCACCAGGTTAACTGGGGGGCCGTGCCCACTCATGCCCCTTCCTGGCTACGCCCATGTCGTACACAGTTAGGGTACGTCATGAAAACGTACACTAAGAAGGGATTTTTTCGAAATTCCCTCTCCCCGCTAGGGAGAGGGAAAGGATTAAGGCTTAACCTGAAAACGGCTTCTGTTCTATTTCAGATGCGATTTTTTGTTTTAAACAACGTTTAGTCTTCATTGAGTACTTAGGTGAAGTAAATTGATAACATTTCAGACATTATTATAAATATTTTTTATATATTTCGACTTTTTAACCAAATGTTCGACCGTTTTAAATTGGAATTTTGTTATTGCATATTGATTCGATTATAAAACGATTGTAAACGTTACAAAAAATTGCTCAGATTGAAAACGTTCGTTTTGAAGTAGTAAAATGATTCTAAGCAATAATGGGTATGTGTTATATAACAATTCTATGGTTGTCGAAGATAGCCATTGATAGTAATAACTTAATTTCAAAACGTACAGTACTTGTAAATCTCATGACGTGTACAGAAACGGGAAAACGCTTAACGGAATGGTTAGATAAGCTAGCGAGAAATGCTTTCCCGAATGATTGATCCGTCGAGATACCATAATCTGGGAGACAAAAATAAGAGAAGAATAATAGACAAAATACAAAACTTTTCGTTTTCAATATTAATACATCATATTTTGCGATTTTTACGATTACGATATTTTGCGTTTAGAACACGTGTATTTTTTATCACAAACATACCACTTTTTACCACTGTTGTATTTTAAAATTTTGCCGCTAAAGAAAAAATTTTTACATACGATCGGACTATAATTTGATTTTTTAAAATTAATTTACCAAAACTCCATGTCGGCTGGTCGGACATCGGCAATCAAATTTTTAAAAATGTTCGAAAAAGCAGGTCCGAATAGCAGTTACAGTATGTAGGTCACGCAACAAGCTCTCTGGAAGTATGCGTGACGAAGATACTGTAATTTACACGTGTACAACTCCAACTCGCCGTCACGACAGGATGTTTATGTTTAGTCGCATGAGTTTGCTCTTTATAGAAAATTTCTGATTAGTTTATTCGATTGATGAACGTTAATTATTTTATTTAAATTTAGAATTTCGGAGAGCATAAAGATACTGTATCAAAACCCTATTCGAGTTAAACAGTTTGATTTAACGTGTAAATCCTTACGTTGGACGATCGAGGAAAGAAAATAACTTTGCTGTATAATTATTACAATCGTACAAAGTTTTGGGTCTCTTCTATTAATGGCCGAGACGTTAATAATAAAATTGAAAAATTAAAATTAATATTCGTAGAAGAAATAACTAACAAATTCTTTGTTTATTCTACAAAAGCTCGTGTTTTAATTCAGCTGTGTTAATTCTATTATGTAAATATAGATTTCTAATTTAGCTTTTGTGTTGGTATGTAAATACATTGAGAAAATACTTCCGCAAATCCATATTGCTTTGGTTATTGTTTTAAAAATGCAAGTTTTTAAAATAAATTTAAATTTTTTAAAAATTTTTATGTAGCCTATTGTTTCATATTAAAATTTTCAAATTTCTTCGTGGGGCTGGACCCAATAAGAATAAATGATGATTTAATGCGTTATGACGTAAAAATTAAAATGTAGCATTTTTAATTTAAAACATATTTTCATAGTTATGCTTTAAATCAGTGATTCCCAAACTTTTTCGATCCACTGACGACTTGGTTCCATAAACTTATAGAGTATAACATGTGTTAGATGGTATAGCGAGTAGATTTCTGGACACCGAGGGGAAGTTTGCCAAGATACTCGAAAAGTGCTCGTAATCCCCATTCAGATTTTGTTTTACAGCACATACGGTCGTATATTCTTTGTATGATGGTACGTTCTAGAAAAGTAATTTAATTTAATTAACTAAACTGCTTGAAGTAACTTTAGAAATCACAAATCTAATCACTCACCATCCGGGAAGAAATCTTGCATAAATTCATTCATCAAATTACAGTCTCGCTTGCCGAAATTATATGTTATCAATTAATACAGCCACGAATAGTTGTCATCAGAACAAAATGTTCCCTCGAAGTATTTTTCGATTTTCAATTTGAGGCAATCCCAAAACCCGACTCTGACTGTTCGAAAAAGTCTTGCGCAAGAGGGTTCAGCTAATGGTGAGAATTTATAAGTCAGAACCTTTCTCTATCCAGAATTATTACGGCAATGTACGGTACTTACTTATGACAACGAAAGATTGCAACCCGTATCCAGTTATTAATATAAAAAAGCCGGCAACAAATATAGGTCTATATCCCTTTGAAGATCATTCTGAATTTTCCTTACTTGTTAAAATGAAGAATTGATCCGATATAATGGATTTTAAATTGATTATTGTTAACAATACTTTCACGTAATTAGTCTCCGTAACAGAATAACTTAAATGTTCTTTAACGTTTTAATTGGTCTTGTTTTTTCGAGATTGCTCATTATGGATGATGGGGTGGGGATACCCCTATTATAATATATACTAAAGTGCATTTACACACACACAAATCCTGATTAAATTCTACATTTTGGTTATCTTTACTTGTTTTATTGAAAACAAGTTGAAATTCAAACAAGTTTTATAATTCCAAATACAAAAATAAAATACAATATAATGAATTAAGATGATCTTAAATTAAATTTCACATGTTATAATTACAGAAATGTTCACCAATTTTTTTTATTTTTTTATTNCGACGAAACACCATTTTAAAGTGCATTTTTATTCAACTAATATATTTATAAATAATATGTAGCCCAAGAAGTAGCCAATGCACCAAATGATAATTTCTACATCAAACAAAAAAAGTAGCCACATTTGGCGCAATGTAGCCAAATCTTGCAACGTTGGAAGAAATACTAAATAAAGCTGGAGTTGTGACTCAAAGGATTATAGACCCAAATGCGGGGAAAGGAGAGAAAGGACAAAAGATAAAGAAGTGAGGAAAGTTGGAAAATTAAGGGTCAATATTTGCATAACAGAAGGTCTATTTAACCTTTCTCACTACTTTTTATCTTTTGGCCTTTCTATCCTTTCCTCAAATTTGGATCTATAATCCTTTGAGTCACAACTCCAGCTTTATTTAGTAATCCTTCCTCATTCACAAATCTCCAAATATTTGAAAATGTTTCTTTTCCACTCAAAAATAAAATATGAATAAGGGTTTACGGCTTTGTGAAACTTTATTAGATATATGACAAGAAAAAGTACTGTATTTATTTCTAATCAAAATTTCCATTTTGTTTATTGGTGTTCGTGACTTACCGCGTAGTTATATCAGTTTTATCATCGCGTTTAATAGCCGGGTTCTTCTCAAGTGGACCGCTTGTGCGAACAGCATCACGTTCGAGTGGTTCGACTGGCGACAGTCACAATCCAGATTGTAGGTTAATCGAGATCGAAGTGAGTCGTGGATTGTGTGCGAACATAGTATAAGACTACCGTGTTATCAGTTTCTTGTCCTTCTCTCCTCCCTCTCCCGTTCGCTCTGCATTTTAAGCGTTTTTTGGACGGAAACTTCTGACCAATTATAAACCATTCTTTCGTGAACAGCTTACACCCAGGTCCGCTGTTATCTGACGAGCGTGGAGATTACATTAACGTCCGCCACTTTCGTTTATTAGTTTACTAAGTGGGTTAACGTCCGACCACACATGGGTCCAATTGACAAGGTCGCGCTTGTTTTGTTCCCTCTCTGCTAAAAGACCAATACTTTACAATCTTACAAAAACCGTTTATTGTAACATAAAATAAATTTACACTAGGAAAAAAATAGTCTTTTTAAAACCGTTGTTCTGACGTCCTGGGCATCAATCGAAGGTGGTCCTGGGACAGCGGAAGGTGAGGAGACTGTCGATTGGTTGGGTGCTGGTGTACAGTTTAATTAAACAAAGTCAGTCTGTCCTTGAAGATCGGGGATCAATCTCTGTTCTTTCTTTTCTCCATTCTGATTGATTGGTCCTTCCTCTGTCCCTAAACGAAAGACAAGACCTGTTCGGGTCAAGAGAAAGGTCGGCTTTGGAGAATCTCCCCAACACCATCCGTTAACTCTGGACGGAAGGTGCTGATGAAACTTTGAAACCTGCGCTCATATTTTGCCTCATCGTTGTCTAGCCTATGACAATGACGTTTTAGAATTTTACTGACCCAACGCGATGTCCCTTTCTATTATTAACCTTTTCCCTTTTCAAAATTTTTCTATGTTCTAATTGCTTGTATACGAGAGCTCTGTCAAAGGTCCATCTCTACTGGTCGACGTTCGTTTACACCTATTGCGTCGATATTAATAGTTTTTTTTTTTTCTTTCTTGTCTCATTCTCATATGACTTGAACGATTAATCCGACTTTTGATCGGTTTTAACAATGAAAATTTTTCTAGTTTCGTTTCAATAAACTTTTATAATAAATTTTTAATTTCAATCCGTTTTTTGGAACCTCGCAGTAGTTTACAGTGGAAAGCAACATGGCGTCCTCCATGACTCAGACAATTTCGTTCCGGGTCCATTGGGTGATTTTATAAATGAAAATTTAGAAGTTGTGACAACGCAAATTAGTGCACGCTGTGATATAAGTGTCCTCTCGATTTTTTTCGAATGGTAGCCGGTATTTTAATTTTTTTCGTCGCTGCTTTGAATGCTCTGTTGGCAAGTTAATCCGTTTTATGGTTAAATTTTACAATTGAGACCCTTCTTTTGCCTGTAAAAACGTATTTTAAAATCGTAGCTCTTTCTATCACAATACTATCGATAGTACAGGCGCCGCCATCTTTCTTTCACCGTTGTTCTTAAATGTTCACAAACAACAGTGCACTCCGTAGTAGCGGAGACGTAGAGCGACCGCTATCAATGAACACACGCTTTGTTGCTTGTAATGTAAAAGCGCTATAGTAACGAGTTTGGTACTAATTTATTCTTACGGAAATGCGTTCTGAATGTCCTGAAATGTTACAACATCAAATTTGATTGCATTTGGACTGCTAAATATCTTTCTATACAGCGTTGAATATGGTGTTTTAATTACGATCTCCCAGTATATTTGTAATAAGGTATATAAAATGACGCAAACAACCGAAACTATTAAAAAATAAGAATGTCGAATGTATTACGATCCTTAATGATTATTTATCATTAGTTACGTATTAAATGGTTATATTTTCTATATAAAATTTAAACTTACTGTGATAAGAAAAAAGAACTTTGATTTATTCAATTTTCAATTCTTTTTATAATTGGAGATATTTTAATATTAGTTTAAATAAGTCAATTACGATTCTTTTATAATAAATTATCATTTTAATTACAGGAAGGTGCAGAATAAAATACTGAAGCAGGAAATGTATGCATCTTTTCCTTCCTATCTTTTATTAAGTTTGTTTTCATTATTTATAATATAAATACGTTAATATTCGCAAATTTCTTCTATTATTGCATGTTTAAATATCCGTAGAAAATATTGCACCGTAATACAAAGTATATGGGTACTTTCAGTCAGCAAGCAATTTGCTAACTTGAATTGAGCTAAGTTTCATCATGGTTTCGTTTGTCAACCGAACGGTTGTCATTGTTTAACAAAAGGATAACAAAAGACAATAATCAATGTCGAAAGTCGTGACAGATCGTCGAAGTATCCTCACACATTTTATACAACTTTCATTTATTCCGGGGTACAAATAAATTTAGTTTAACAACTGAATGACTTTACTTAATAAAATAGCCGTCTATAGTCAAGAGCAATATTTTGCAACGTATTTGTAGAACTAATTTCGTGGAAATGCGTACAAATAAAGTCATAGAACTGACAACTAACATTAACTAACCTTTGAACTTGAATTGCCTCTTAGTTTAAGCTGTTGATCAATAGCAGTTTTTTACCTTCGATTTGAATTAAACAATGTAAATAACATAGTTAACTAGAACTAATGAACTAAGCTTATTATATTCCCAGCGTATATAACTCTTACTGAAATATATTTCTTTCTTACTGGCCGTTTTCAATTGGAATACATATACTCAGTGGCGCCCCGCAAACCATAAAAAAAAAGGGTACAAGCTGTAAAAAATGGCATCGTACGTGTATATATACATACTATACAGATATTAATTAACTGGGATTTGGAACATGAGATTAATTGACTGTTCTCTGATTAACGCAGTTAATTAAATCTACGATGCTACTGCGTAAATGAAAATCGCGTTGATCAAATACAGTGGTACCTCGAAACTCGACCAAACAATTACGACCCCGCTAGAAAAAGGTTTCGGTTAATAACAAATATTTTTATTTTAATTTTGTCATAAGTGAAATGTTTTCCGTGATAAAAATAACTAAATTTAAACAAAATGAAACCTTACAGCTTTCTTAGAGATTAAAAAAGGACAACTTCGAAAACAATGGTGAACACGTGTTTTCCAAGTGCCGCAATGTACAAGCTTTCTGCATATAATGATAGCAATCTACAACAACAACAACAACAACAACAAGAAAACACAGACTATGATAACTATCGTCAACATTACAATAAACGTTAGACGTACAGTACATATTAAAAAAAAACTAGTGAGATATTTAATTAATTTTTTATGTATTTCAGGTGAAGCAAAATACAGTGTGGAAGATTAAGAATTCTTAACTTTCTCCTGATTTCAAAGATCAATAAAAACGTAAATTAAAACTGATCAGTATAATGTCTCTGTCGATTTAACTCATATCGCACAACAATTTTCAATAATATAGGCCTATACACATATTAAATTCATTACACGTGGGGGCACCGAGATTCTTTATGATCATGATGACTCGAATTTGGCGAGGACATTGCGAGCTTTATCAGTGACAATAAAATTTCCATTTTATGTGACCGTTGATTCATAAGTCTTATAGAAATAGAAGACACGACACAACGTAAATATATATAGTCTATGCTATGGATAAAGTGATTAATAGGGAATTATTTATAATGCCCAGCCATTATGAATAATGACAGTAATGGTCGCGCAGTCTGATAAATATTGACTAATTTTTAAATTGAGCAGACGTTATGAATATAGCTACAATCTATTTTGGCAATTTAATTTTTTTTTTAAAACTCAAATAATTATTATGTCTAAATATATAAAATTACTTGTCCTGATTGACTGAGTGATTAATCCATCATCGCCCAGAGCAAACCGCTGAACCTAGAGGTAAAATTTCGTACACCATTGGAGTAGCCAGAGTTTTGTTATGGGGAGCCTAGTAGAGGCCAACCTGACACAAAATTGAATTATTTCAAATTATTGTTCATTAAAATGAAATTTCCATAAGAATCGACAATAACTTAACACACATAAAATATGAAACTTCCTTTAATCATACGTTCTCGTAACATTAATATCAAACTCTAGCAATGCCTTAAACAAAAATTAACCAATCGATTATTTTTTTACCATTCTTTAATTAATATAGTTTACCGTCTTTAATCTAGATATAGACCAGGGGTGGCCAACAGTTTATTCCTCCGGGCCGAATTGGAAAGAAAACTTTTTTCAATGCACGAACCAGAGGCGGCCCTAGCAGGATTTTCAGGTGATGCGAGATCACCTTTATTCTGGCGTCACCCTGTAGAGAGATTAAATTGTACACAGAAATTACAGATACACTTTTCACATTGGGCATAGAAAACCGTTGACCTTTTTTTTTATTTAAGGGATCAGAATTTGTCAACATTCCTATAACTTCACAACTTCGCATTGTGAGGTTGTGAAGAATCATCGCTGATCCATTCAAGCAATTATTTGAATTATTTGAATTATTGATAAGTCCATTATTCAGAGATTAATTGCGGGCCGCGGTACACTACACCCAATTAAATTAGCTTCAACTTTTTATATCTTTTTGCAAATCGGCTCAACACTTTTTCGGCTGTAATTTTTTGGAGAGGGCACCAGGTTAACTGGGGGGCCGTGCCCACTCATGCCCCTTCCTGGCTACGCCCATGTCGTACACAGTTAGGGTACGTCATGAAAACGTACACTAAGAAGGGATTTTTTCGAAATTCCCTCTCCCCGCTAGGGAGAGGGAAAGGATTAAGGCTTAACCTGAAAACGGCTTCTGTTCTATTTCAGATGCGATTTTTTGTTTTAAACAACGTTTAGTCTTCATTGAGTACTTAGGTGAAGTAAATTGATAACATTTCAGACATTATTATAAATATTTTTTATATATTTCGACTTTTTAACCAAATGTTCGACCGTTTTAAATTGGAATTTTGTTATTGCATATTGATTCGATTATAAAACGATTGTAAACGTTACAAAAAATTGCTCAGATTGAAAACGTTCGTTTTGAAGTAGTAAAATGATTCTAAGCAATAATGGGTATGTGTTATATAACAATTCTATGGTTGTCGAAGATAGCCATTGATAGTAATAACTTAATTTCAAAACGTACAGTACTTGTAAATCTCATGACGTGTACAGAAACGGGAAAACGCTTAACGGAATGGTTAGATAAGCTAGCGAGAAATGCTTTCCCGAATGATTGATCCGTCGAGATACCATAATCTGGGAGACAAAAATAAGAGAAGAATAATAGACAAAATACAAAACTTTTCGTTTTCAATATTAATACATCATATTTTGCGATTTTTACGATTACGATATTTTGCGTTTAGAACACGTGTATTTTTTATCACAAACATACCACTTTTTACCACTGTTGTATTTTAAAATTTTGCCGCTAAAGAAAAAATTTTTACATACGATCGGACTATAATTTGATTTTTTAAAATTAATTTACCAAAACTCCATGTCGGCTGGTCGGACATCGGCAATCAAATTTTTAAAAATGTTCGAAAAAGCAGGTCCGAATAGCAGTTACAGTATGTAGGTCACGCAACAAGCTCTCTGGAAGTATGCGTGACGAAGATACTGTAATTTACACGTGTACAACTCCAACTCGCCGTCACGACAGGATGTTTATGTTTAGTCGCATGAGTTTGCTCTTTATAGAAAATTTCTGATTAGTTTATTCGATTGATGAACGTTAATTATTTTATTTAAATTTAGAATTTCGGAGAGCATAAAGATACTGTATCAAAACCCTATTCGAGTTAAACAGTTTGATTTAACGTGTAAATCCTTACGTTGGACGATCGAGGAAAGAAAATAACTTTGCTGTATAATTATTACAATCGTACAAAGTTTTGGGTCTCTTCTATTAATGGCCGAGACGTTAATAATAAAATTGAAAAATTAAAATTAATATTCGTAGAAGAAATAACTAACAAATTCTTTGTTTATTCTACAAAAGCTCGTGTTTTAATTCAGCTGTGTTAATTCTATTATGTAAATATAGATTTCTAATTTAGCTTTTGTGTTGGTATGTAAATACATTGAGAAAATACTTCCGCAAATCCATATTGCTTTGGTTATTGTTTTAAAAATGCAAGTTTTTAAAATAAATTTAAATTTTTTAAAAATTTTTATGTAGCCTATTGTTTCATATTAAAATTTTCAAATTTCTTCGTGGGGCTGGACCCAATAAGAATAAATGATGATTTAATGCGTTATGACGTAAAAATTAAAATGTAGCATTTTTAATTTAAAACATATTTTCATAGTTATGCTTTAAATCAGTGATTCCCAAACTTTTTCGATCCACTGACGACTTGGTTCCATAAACTTATAGAGTATAACATGTGTTAGATGGTATAGCGAGTAGATTTCTGGACACCGAGGGGAAGTTTGCCAAGATACTCGAAAAGTGCTCGTAATCCCCATTCAGATTTTGTTTTACAGCACATACGGTCGTATATTCTTTGTATGATGGTACGTTCTAGAAAAGTAATTTAATTTAATTAACTAAACTGCTTGAAGTAACTTTAGAAATCACAAATCTAATCACTCACCATCCGGGAAGAAATCTTGCATAAATTCATTCATCAAATTACAGTCTCGCTTGCCGAAATTATATGTTATCAATTAATACAGCCACGAATAGTTGTCATCAGAACAAAATGTTCCCTCGAAGTATTTTTCGATTTTCAATTTGAGGCAATCCCAAAACCCGACTCTGACTGTTCGAAAAAGTCTTGCGCAAGAGGGTTCAGCTAATGGTGAGAATTTATAAGTCAGAACCTTTCTCTATCCAGAATTATTACGGCAATGTACGGTACTTACTTATGACAACGAAAGATTGCAACCCGTATCCAGTTATTAATATAAAAAAGCCGGCAACAAATATAGGTCTATATCCCTTTGAAGATCATTCTGAATTTTCCTTACTTGTTAAAATGAAGAATTGATCCGATATAATGGATTTTAAATTGATTATTGTTAACAATACTTTCACGTAATTAGTCTCCGTAACAGAATAACTTAAATGTTCTTTAACGTTTTAATTGGTCTTGTTTTTTCGAGATTGCTCATTATGGATGATGGGGTGGGGATACCCCTATTATAATATATACTAAAGTGCATTTACACACACACAAATCCTGATTAAATTCTACATTTTGGTTATCTTTACTTGTTTTATTGAAAACAAGTTGAAATTCAAACAAGTTTTATAATTCCAAATACAAAAATAAAATACAATATAATGAATTAAGATGATCTTAAATTAAATTTCACATGTTATAATTACAGAAATGTTCACCAATTTTTTTTATTTTTTTATTTATTTTTTATTTTTAATGAAAGGGGCGGAAGACCAGGATTACTCAAAGGTATCGCCTTGGGTGAAAAAAGAGGAGGGGTAATGGATGAGGAGGGTGAAAGTGTGATAGGAAAGATGGTGAAGAAGAGAGAAATCGTTAGCGCGAACAACACAATAATTTAAATAGAATGATACATGTGCAGGATACGAAAAGAAAGAGTGTACACATAGTTATGGCGCGTTACATATGAAAGAAAAGCTTTGTGGTTATAGAACAATTATAAATACCGGAGTTGAAAGTGGTGATAGTTACAAAAGGGTGCATGTTTCGTCGGTTTTACCAAGGCCCCTGTTGTAGAGGTAACCTATATTGTCAAGAGTTCCTTGCCTGATTTCGGGTGGTGAAGTCTGGATTCAAAGCGCCGGTTTCCCGGATAAATTCGGTAAGTCCGTTGTAAGTGACACTGTTGTTGATGAGGAGATCGGGCGTGCAGGTCCAGTTGAATCCTTCAATATGGGCTTTGTGGGTAAGTTAGACACCTATGACACAGACAGAGTTATCTGTGTGTCATAGAGGTTGCATTCAAATATAAAGTGCAGGGGATCCTCTATAGCGCCGCTGTCACACTGACAGAAGGGGGTATCGCTGTGGTGGAATCTATTGAGGTACTGGCGAAAGTTTCCATGGCCAGTGAGGAGTTGGCTGGTGAAATAGTTGCTATATATGTGGTTGAGAGAGAGACGGTTGGGAATGTTAGGCAGGAACTTAAAGGTAGTCCTACAGGTGTCCGCTTCTTCCCATTCTCTCTGCCACATGTGGATGAGCGTTTCTCTAATAAGATCCTTGATAGCCACTGTTGGGATGTCATTGAAGCTTGGTGTAACAGAAGAAGTGGCTGTCTCCTTAGCCAGCAGCACATCCACTTCCTCGTTTCCTATTACACCTTGATGGGCGCGGGTCCATGAAAAGTAAATGAGGTTGCTTTTGTTTATTCTTCAGTTCGTCCATGATGAGTTGGTGGAGATGGTTACGCTGGGCTTTCTTGCTTATGCTCCAGAGAGCGGCTTAGCTGTCAGAACAGATGCAGACCTGCTTCCCGCGAAGCTGATTGGAATTGTTGATGTAGACCAATGCTTTGTAGATGGCGTACAGTTCTGCTTGCATAATAGAGCAGTAAAACCCTTTTTGTGGACCGGGTGTGTACAGTTGCTATTTCTGTACACGATGACAGCACCCATACCAGAAAAAGATTTTGACCCATCTGTGAAGCTGGTGTTGGCGTTGTTGATGTTGGAAACACTCGGAACAGTGAGAAAATTAATGGTAGGAGATAAAGCAGGATGCCTGTGAAGAGTAACTTGAGTGTTCTTGTGGTTAAGCATGAGAGTTTGTTGCATATCCAGGCTGGGAAGGATGCCAATATTTAGATAACTTATTAGCTCAGTCTTCGTACGATCTGAGAGACTGAGGTTGGTGAGATACCAGCTAGATGCGTTGGCTTTTACACTTAGATGTATTGGAGGGATGCCAGTAATCACCTGTAGAGCAGATGTGGGGGCAGTCCTGTAGGCCTTGGTGATCTTGAGGAGGCTGACACGCTAAGCCTTTAGAAGCTTACGCTTTACGTAAACTTTATCCACTGCGTCCCCCCAAAAGGGTCAGGCGGTAGATATTTGTTAAGTTCTTATTGTTGAGGCCACAGTTTTTTCCTGCGAGAAAGCAGAGAAGGTTCGAAAGTTTTATGGTCTTGTCACAAGCGTTTTTTATGTGAATATTCCAATTCAAACCCTGATAAATAGTAATGCCCAAGTATTTTATACTATCACTGTATCTTATCCTAGTACCTCCTATTTTGATCGAGTTTGGTTTCTTGAGTTGAATCCTTTTTGACATTAGCATGCAGGTGGTCTTATCTAGGTTAATGGATAGTTTATTAAAGTTGCTTTACTCTAAAATTTGGTTAAGAAAAGAATTAGCCTCTTGCAGCAATTTCTTACTGTTTTTATTGGACATCTTAACAAAGGTATCGTCGGCATATCCCTGGGTAGCCCAGGTGCCGGTAGTCGCGTTAGGGACGATGTCAAGAAGGCTATTGTACATGATGTTCCAAAGGCCAGGCCCTGAACGGGAACCCTGGGGGCACCTCCGGGCAACAGGTCAAAGGACAGGTGTGCCCAGTTCGTGAATACCAGCAGTACGGTGAACAGCTTGAATAGGTTTTGAATAGGTTGGACAGTTAAAGGTCTTGAGCTGCGAAAGAAGGGATGGCCACCACAGAGAGTTAAATGCGTTCCTGTAATCTATTGAGATCAACACTACGTGTTCTTCATTTTTCCAGGCACTGCCTATGAATTGGATTAACCTATGAATGCATGATAGGAGGTCCCCTCCCTTGGACAAAGCCAAATTGATGGGGATGTAGGTGGTTGTTATTCGTGAGATGGTGGTTAATCCTATTGATTAGAAGTCCATCAAGGACCTTGCCCAGTATGGGCAGAAATGTTCACCAATTGCTGTCAGAATATGTTTAAGATAAGAACCGACGTAAACATATAGTTTTACGAATAAAATAGTGGAGGGACGATTGGGTCGGAAAGCCGGAGTTTCGGTTCCGGTGGCTCCGGCGGGCGAGGCGAGGGAAAAGAAACAACCGCTGCACGATGTGTCTGAGACGATTCTAGGACAAAAGTAAAAAAATGCATAACTGATAATGACTCTTACATATTTACGAATTTATAAACAACATTCCAGTGAGTCAATTGCTATCGATAATTTTTTAAATACGCCCCGTGGCGTTGTTAACAACAAAAGAAAAGTATGTTTTATATCTCGTTGGAATCATAACGTTAGTGTTGTGTTCGGACTTGTTTTGAATAGTTGTTTCGCTGGCTGTTTTGAGTGTTTTTATCAAATATTAAGATGAATAGTAATCGCCAAGGTATATATCTTAATATGTATATTTCATTAATAATAGTCAATGGTGAGATTTTATATAAAACAATCGCAAACCCAAGGGATTTTTACACTTTATTTTAAATAAGTAGAACTACATCTTTTTTCGTATGTCTTTCTACGTTTTAATTTCATTTTTTTCGGATTTTTGAAGGTTTTATAATTATTTCTAACAGATATTTGTGCGCGGAAACGTGCGGATTTTGATGTATAACCACCATTCTTTGTTTCACAGGCCGTTGGCTTGTAGTCAGCAGGAGTGAACTTTTTGAAAAACTTAGAGAAAAAGGTAAAATGATAAGCGGGTTATTCGAAGCACAAAATATTATCGTAGACTATATATAATACTTTGTACTTGGAATGACCCGCTTATCATTAGATAGATGAAATCCGAGAGCAGATACTGAAACCTTAGGCATAGACCCCGATTAATTAGATACGCGAACTTCCGATGCAAACCGGAAGTTACATTATTTAGATTCAAAAGTCCCTCAAAAGCAGTTAATAGATGACTGGCACAACTCTATTGTTAAAGGAAAAGTATGACGTACAGTACGGGGCAAGATACAACAGTACTAAAAATATGATTAAAATTGCAAGTGTCACAATAAATAATTTCTCATTGCTGGTCTGAATATATTTTATTTACAATAAAATCTGTCAAAATGGGAAAAGGGATAAAATCTCACAGAGAAAGAATATGGGCAAATTGATATTTTATGATCGCTCTGTTGCTGACCAAATAGGAAGGAGTCGCGCTGTTGTGTACAATTATATTTTTAAAAAAGATGATAATAAATACAATCCAAAAAACAATGGCGAAAGAGCTACTAAGTTGAATGCGAGAGACAAGAGGCAAATTTTGAGGGTTGCGAACAACGATGCGACGTCCGCATCTAAAATTGTGAGTCAAAGTTAAAGGTTTGTCCTCGTACTGTTGAAAGTGGTAAAATCATCGGGTCGACTTAAGAAAACTTCCCCCTATCCTAAGAACGTAAAACCGGAATAATAGCGAGGTTGAGGCCGAAGTTTTAAACGCGAAAACGTGTACATCGGACATTCGGCGTCACTTTCCTGTAAGCCTATTATTTTGACAATGGCGTTTGGAATATGGAGCATGATTCCACTGACTTTCCACGAATCTTTTGCACGAGAACGCGTGTCTCGGGACGCAGAACAATGGGGAAATCTTTCGGATGAAAGTAATAGTTCGGTCCCAACGGTCCGAATTATTATTTTCGTGATTTGCGCAAGGAATAGAGGATTTTATTTCGACGACAGATGGATGGTGGTTCTGTTACGGTATGGGGTATCATTTCTTGCCAAGTAAACTCTCCTATTGTATAAATGGACGAATGGATTCGAAAAAATTATCGGGGGGCCAATCGAAAATATTTTACTTCCGAATTCGCGAAAATTAGCGGACAGAAAATTATATTTTTATGCGAGACGATGCACCCGTCTATTCATCTCGGTTTCGTCAGAAAAAGTCAAACCGTTAGGGTGCGACTATGCAGACGCCAGCGAGCGAATTAGCCAAGCGATGTGAGAGCCAGCGAGACGAGGTAACGACGTTTCTCGCCCTGGTTACAGTACAATACGACTACACCGACGCTAGCAAACGGGAGAAATTGGCGTGGAGATGACGACGTCATATATTGGCGTCGAACTCGTCACAGAGAAGCGTGAATTATTGCATCATACGAAAAGTAAAAATCAAAATGA